AGCAGGAGTTGGGCACCAGCACTGACCCAAGTTTAGACTTTTTTAGCTAGGTCTATGTTCACCTGGACGTTTCATCCTACAAGTTCAAAAATAGCATTTTGTAAAGCTGGGAATTTTTGGCACACTTCAGCCACATACATCCAAGCTCCCACTCCTACCTAACAGACCTGGAACTTCTCCCAGCTACGCAAAGCTAAAACCTAACACTAAACAAATCAGCAGCCTTAGGGCATCACCATGCACATTCATCTCACAGCAAATGCCATTCTCATCCAGCGCATGGGCGCTCTGTGCACATGTAAGACACCCACCCTCCCCACCCATCACCCAAATATTATCCTTTAAGTGTTTGTTAAAATATAACAAGTCAGTGTAGTTATTTGCCTGGGGGACCAGTTGCAATACACTTGAACAACCAAGTCAGAGAGTCAGCCATGACCAAAGGCTCAGACTGCTGAGGTCTCAACACCCTGCGCAGAGCCCTTGCCAGAGAGGCTACCTGAGATATTGTCAGAATCTAGCAGCTCAACTATGCTGTATGGGGAGCAGTCTTCAAGGCCCAGTTTGCTACACAGCCAGCCACAAAACCCTTTCTCCATATCTCTCACAGCATGCCACCAGTCCCCAAAGGACCAGGCAATCTGTGTCACCGCGGTGTATAGGCCTAGGGAAAATGATACAGCCATGATGATAATTGGGTAGAAGATGATCAGAAAGGGGCAGAAGGTGATCTTGTGCCAGAAGGTCCTCTCTTCATTGTATACCAGGAAGATGTTGTACCAAGTGATGGTCCCATAGTAAAATGAAATCACAAAGGACACTACAAAGATGACGGGAAGGCAGACGATGCTCCAAAGGAGGACATGGGGGCCTCTGTCCACCGCAACATTGCAAGTCTTTTTCCCCTCAGGGGTTTCATCTTTGGGAGGTTCCTTCGACTTAGCCAGTTCCTGCAGCTCTTTGTCTGTTAGTGTGACATGGATGTCCACCATTTGGCCCTTCTTTTTCCCCCTTGTGATGGTTCCAGTTAAGGTGACATATCGGCTGTCTAAGGGCATGCTCCAGACACCTACAATTACAGAGAAGTTGCATCATTATTCTATCTAATCTTATCTTTATGCAAGGCACGTCACAAAAATCCCCAAGGATGTTGTACAGAATTAGATAATACAGGTTAAGGAATTAAAACAATACTAAGTTTTTTTAAAAATGGGCAAGAAAACTGTGCAATGCAGGCAAGAAATCATAGAGGGAAATGGAGGGAAAGTCAGTGGGGCGACAATATACAGAGGTGCTGTTCTGATTGACAGAAACTGCAGGGAAGACTCAGGCACCTGTACTGGTGAGGCTGTGGAGGAAAGGCAGGGGACAGGGGCCA